CTTATAAAATGAGTCAGATCAATGTAGGCTGGTAAGGCAATCACTGATTGGCATTTCCTCAAGCCAATCAGGAAATGTCACAGACCTACTGAAGGATGTGTAGATTGGCAGCAAAGCACAGGTTTGTGTGTTTTAATAAAAGTGATTTGGCACATGCCTACTGTGGCACACCAATCGACCTTACCAACTTATACATGCATAGAGAACATTTTTAGGCTATAAAATCTCTATACTTGAACAAAAGTATTCTTATCACAAAACCTGACAAAGGTTCTGGTATTGAATAAAACTGACTACATTGAAAAAATATGTGACATCTTAATTAATGATGAAACAAAATTCAAAAGGCTAGGCACTGTTTTGTGCAAAATGATAACATGGCAAAAATTGAAAACAAATTACAAAAACGCTTATTAGAACTGGTTAAGAAAGGTTCCTTACCATGTGATATTTATGACCAGATTAGGCACGCAGGCTCACAACATCCCGGAATGTGTCGATGTTTCCGTTTATCAATGTTATATTTTAAGATCTGTGCAAGAACTCAGCTATCAGATGCTTCCGCATATAAAAGCTATCTTCAAGATTTGCAACATTCCTTGCATTATCTGTGAGAACCATAGGAATTTTGGACATTAGAATTTTCCATGTTGCAAACATTTTGTAAATGGTTATTGAAATAACCTCCACCATAACCCATACTTGTAGTACTGCTTTCTGTAAACTGTAATTCATGTATGTCTATTGTGCAGTTAATCTCAAAATTGACATTAGCAATGCATCAGAACTCCAAATAACATTTGTAATGCTCGGTGCTGATACATGATCACCTTCAAACAGCATATGTATGTATTTTGAAATGACAATTTACAGTTCTGACAGTGCAATTTCAGATATGAAACTTCTCCAGACATTCCATGAGAAGGTGGAGTCCAATATCTTCAATAACTGAAGATGGTTGGTCATCCATAGCTATAAATTACATTAATTTGTTGGTAACTTCTTTTGCTCTGGAATCTTCATGATCTAATTTCTTTAATGATTAAGTGCTTAAGGTACTAAGGCACATGCTGCTTTAGCATGTTTTATTTCTATTTTATTTTTACCAGTTCTGTCTCTTCCTTAGCTCCATCTAGGAAATCATTGTATAATTTAAGGGCTAACATATCTTGAGGTGGTGTATTGAATTTGTTGTGTTGAAATCTTTACCAGTGTTTCCTCCACACAAAATTTTTGCAGAACACAGTTTGCAATCAGATGTCCTGTTGTTTTCAGACATTTTAAAAAATTCCAAGCAGCCCTTACAGTTTTGAGACATACTTAAAGCAGATAGTAATTTCATGTTGCATACTACAGCATATATATATTTTTGTCTCAACTTTTATGTCTCACAACATTCTTTGGAACAACAAACAAAAATATCAGTGTACATTATCACCTACAATAAGAAAAATAGCTGATAAGTTTTACTATGTTTGGCGCCAGGCCTATAGTCTACTGATATATCAGTGCCCCTACACATTGGTGTTGAATTTCTATTTCATAAAAGTTAAAAATTTGTTTACAATATTTTTCATTATACCAGCAAAGCTGGATACTGTATTAAGTCTAATTTTATGATATTTTTCAAAATTTTTGGAATTTATATATTTATTTTGTGTTACAGAATAACCTAATTGGAAAAGGACTCCAAAAATATATCTAAGTAATATGCAACAGTAATTATTACTTCTTACCAGTAGTTTGGAGAAAAGGGAATTCACAATTGCCTGGAGAACCATTGCAACAGTTATAACATCATTTGCTGGAAATAATCCTTCACTGGAAGCTACATTATATTATCATTAGATTTTTATTCTTTTATGCATAAGGAAAGAGCTAATAAATATTTTATATTAAAATAAGTTTAACATAAGGAACGGACCTGATATACATTTGATTTAAAGCTAATTATATTTTTTTCCTAAGGCCTACAGTTGTGGCATACATATTTACATATATTCTGAACTTGTTTCTTTGCCATTCTATTTGGAGCAATTTTAAATTGTTAAGCTTACATTATCAAGCAGCAAAAGATATTACAGCATTATACAATTGTTGAGATAAACGTTTAAATTTCTATCTTATAAACTGCCAAGAGCCAGACAACAATTTAATTGATTAATCAATTACCTCTGAGAAGTCATTACATCAATTACTTCATGTAAACTTGCTGATTATTTGAAATTATGATTGGGTTGACCAATCAAAATTAGTTTCCAATGATTACCATTTTTGATTATTCCAACATTTGATTAATTGAAATTATCAATATATGGATTGTTATGAAAATAATCAAATAGTCAAAATTAGTCTTTCTGATTATTCCAACAACTGATTGATCAAAATTAAGATTATATCAAATGTCACGAAAATAATCATCTAATCAAAATCATTACTATTTTCAATTATTCTAATTACCCGAGTAATCAAAATATTGCTATTACATTTGTTTTTTATTAAACACAAAGCTATATAACAGGCTATCTGTTCCCTGTCTAATGTTAGCTTTATAAGCTGTTTTTCTACTTTACTTAAAGTTTATTCAGAGTTGGTGGTTTGGAGGGGGGGAGGGCTTATGATTCAAGGGTTTTGAGTTTGATTTCCATTGCCAGTAAACTTGTTTGCCCTATCTTTGTAATGAAAAAGCTTCTAAGTCTACCTGCCACTGTTGCTAATTTTGAGCTGGTGGCTAGAGGGAAGACAATTGGCTGGTAGTATCTGTTACCATTTTTTTTTTTTCGTTTTCAACTGCTGAATACAGGGAAGACAACTGGCCTGTAGTGCCTGTTGCCAACTTTTTTTCCTTTTAAACTGCTGACTAGAGGGAAGACAACTGGCTGGTAGTAACTGTTGCCATTTTTTTTTCCTTTTCAACTGCTGAATACAGGGAAGACAACTGGCCTGTAGTGTCTGTTGCCAACTTTTTTCCTTTTAAACTGCTGACTAGAGGGAAGACAACTGGCTGGTAGTAACTGTTGCCAACTTTTTTACCTTTTCGAACTGTGACTAAAGGGAAGGAGACTGGCTAGAAGCATCCATCACCAACTTTTTTTTTTGCTTGTACATACCATGGTTTGAGGAACAAGGTACTAATTAATAAATTGAATGTAATCATGTAATTGATCCATTGATTAATCAGTTAGCAAGTACCACTAATCACCCAGCTATAAAATTGCCTTCATCAGTATTCATGAGTTCAGAAAATCAACTGCTTATGTAAATTACAAGTTCAAAAAAAATGCCACAGCTGAAATTTTAATGTAGGTCTGTAATTTCCATTATGGCTATTGTTTAAAGTGGTCACCAAATTAAACTATAAGAAAAAAAGAACCGTTACAGGATTCTTCTAGCTGGATCACATATGCTAATGATTATGACAAACTTGAACAAAGTGTGGGAAAGCACTTCAAATAACAGCTTTAAACCGAAAAACTCCCCACAAGCCTCCATGTCATCAATATCATAATGACACATACATATATCTAGAAACTTAGTTTAAAACTTTGAAAAACAAACACATAAGCACTGTCATACTGTTTCACTGCTGTTAGACAGATTGAAATTTTGATGAAAAAAAACTAGTCTGTTACAAGGATATTCAAATAGGCTTTGGTTAAGTCGCAATATATTTTTTTTTTAATTTTGAGTATCATATATCAATTTTATATTAAAATTAAAACAAAAAGTTATTTTCAGAAAGTCCCTCACTATATTCTGGGGCCTCAATATTGGTCCCATCCTATTTGGAATCATGTTTTATGTATAAAAGATTCTTTTGAAATTTTTAAAATGTTGTTTAATGAGGTAGTACACGAGCAATATTTTAGTAATGTCTCATTTTTTTATGTTAATGTTACGCCTCCAGTCGTTAGTTAATTTTCCTTAACTTCGTTCCGACGAAACTTTAGCGACATAAGTCCTTTCTTAAATAAAACTGGTTTAATCTTTCCGAATACAACTTTACGATACACTTAATTTCAACAGTCACGCTATAATTCTCAACGAACGTCTTACGTGCTCAGTTCAATTACACATTCTCTGACTGCAGTTCAATTACTCACGACGTACACTGTTCTCCCATCACGTTGTCAATGTCTTATATATGTATATATATATATATATATACAAGACTAACACACATCTAGTAGTCTCCCGATAATTCACGAAGGTTCGAGAGAAGGAGTGGCATGTTACTAGTCACGTGACCTCGCTAACGCAACATTACCATTCAGGCTAAGAGCACAAAAAACAACCTATAAAATCCAACAGTTCATTTTGGTATGGCAAAACTTTTTTAATGACTGTTGCTACTAATTATTTTTATATTAAAATAAAAAGCTTTTCATTTTAAAAACAAGCAAATATGTCTATCATTACTCTATGTGTATTAAGTTGCTATATGTAGTTAATGTATCTATCAAAAAAACTAGTTCATATGACAAGAACCACTGACCATATTTGGCAATGCTATTTGTTCAGTGATGTTGGTAACCAACAATTTCACAGTGCCTGCAAGAAAATGGAAAGAAAAAAGTTTATAATAAACAGATGGTATATCAACGTAATGAGATAATTATAATTATATTTATAATCAGCCAACTCGAAGAAGGGATCTCTTTTTCTATATATCTGAATAAATACCTGGTTCTACCAACCCCATCTTATAAGTATTAAGTAAAGCTTGTTACTAAAGGATACTTAAGAACCTGCAGTGCTACTTGATTCTCCACTTACATATAATACTTATTACATGAACAAAAGTATAACATTTTCAATATATCTTGAGAAGAATCTAAGCTACTATATTTGAAAAGTGCAAAAGTTGGGTCACCTGAACAATTATTCTTAATTCATTGCATTAAAGTGGAACATTTTATATTTTAAGTTATTTTATGATTTAATTATCGAAATATAAAACATACTATCATAAGACTTGGCATAAGGCATAGAAAAAATAAAAAGGTAAGCCTAAAGAATTCAGTGCACCATAAATACATATAAAATTAGCCAACAATTAGACCTTGATGCATTCTACACATTATTTATACTTATAAAAGAATGTATTTGGACAGTGAAAAAGTTGGTCCATCTTAATAGTTATTTTTATTTCACTGCACTGTAATGCAACATACTTAATTTTAAGTACTTTTATGATTTAATTATCAAAATATAAAATAAAAACAATAAACCAAAACTACACCATACGCAGGTATAAGGTAAGCCAACAACTAGACTGAGATGTATTTATTCCATTGTTTAATGAATTACTTAAAAGTTAGTATTTAAGAATTTTGCTGCTTTCATATCAGATGTGGCATGTTCCCTGATATCAAGGGCAGAAGGGTCCCACAAGTTTGTCATAAAAATAACAAAGATACATACTTAAAAACTGTACATAGTCACACATAGTTCACATGATCAGTAAAACACAAGATAGAATATAACATCTTCAAAAAAAATATGATTAAGTAAATTATTTTCAATGCACATAATTACTGATAGGATTAACATATGTGGTAATTTAAATGTTAATGTGATGGCAACTGACAAATAATTATTTCTCTTCTGTGCAGACAAAGCATTAAGCTATTTTTTTTATGTACTTTTCTAACGAGAAGCCCACCAGGGTTTTTCCCAGTGTCCTGGTAGGCCAGTCCAGGCCTGCCTGATGTCAGCAGATTGTGTGTTTAAAATGAGTATAAATATTTTAATATTTTGTACCTTTAAATACCCAGTATTTATTTTACTGGTTCTTATTGAAATGAGATATCACAAACAGTTACAAATTATTTACTCTGCTAAAGTTATTACACATTTAACACCATTTTACAGTCAGACATCTCATATGTAAATACCAGGCTGTAGATATTTTTTTCTGTAAGTAGAAGTTACTCCCAGAATTCTGTCAGAGGGAGTAATTTTAATTTTGTGCAGCAGTAACATTTTGTGACAAAAAAAGGTAATTTAACCAATTATGAATTATTTTATTATTTCAAAAGGTGAAATTTGGCACAGGATTAATTTAGTAAATGAAATCACCAGATGTAGTCATAATAAACACAAATAATGATGTTACAACTTTATATTTTATTTTTAATTGGATTATTCACAAGTACACCAATAGAAACTTCTAGTGGTTAGAGTGCACTTATTTTTGCAGGTCTAATGTGTGAACCATGCAGATTTTGTGGAGAAAGCTACAAGAATGCACCCATTAATTACTGTACTACTGTTAAAATGGTGGGAGCCATATTTGTTTTTCAATGGCAGTAAAACAACTTAATAATTTTTTTAAGGCCATAAATGGCTGATTTTTGGTCGGGAATTATACTGGCACATTTTTATCTGGAGCCCTGTAAATAACATATTACTACACATAATCTCATAACACTATGAAAGGATATAAATTTCTGCACATTCAAGAAAAGTCTAAAGTTTCTGTATTAGACTGTGAGGTACATACATTACTCAAAAATATCAGGCTTGATGTTAGTTTAATTTTATTGTATTCATTAAATCATCTATTGATAAAGAATGATAATCAAATAATCATATATTCTGTCTGTATTTACAATATATGTAGTATGTTTGTCACCATTTATTACATCAAAAAAATATCCTCTACTTACATTTAAATTTTCAGTTGGTATCCTTCAGTATTTCCAGATATTTTTTTATCTTTTAAGTAATTTTTCACTTACTGTTGTTTGTATCATTACCTTCGGGAAGCCATGTGCACCAGAGCAGGTCCAGCAGACCAGACAACAGCCAGACTAACATTTTGTCACAGTAACTGCAGGGATTTTTAACTTTAACTTGCACTCCAAAAATTGTTTCAAGGTACATAGAAAGACTTATCATAGTATTGTAGTGTGTATGAATCAGTATAATAATTGATAATAAATTACACATATAATCTGCAAGTATACATGCTTGTGCTTTCTTATAGCTATGGTGAGTACCTATTTTTATGAATCATAAAGAAATGCTTGCAAATTATTAATATTTTCACACTACTCTGAATTGCCTGAACAATCCAAAATTGATTCCTCCACCCCTAGAAGGTACAAATCTCTAATACAAATAAGCTTATACTTATCACTAAAACAAACTCAGATATATTACTAGCCTGATGCTTAAAAATTCATACATGAATGGCTAGTTAGTTTAGTACAATTATAAAAACTAGTACATAAAGAATAAAACATTAATTTTCCACAAAAGTGTGATGATGTAGACAGCCAACCCTTTAATTTTATTCCTCCAGTGAGCTCAAAATCAAATAATTTACGATTATAGATTGCATAAAGTTCCTTATTATGAAAATAATATTAGATTTGCTATTACATGTAGAGTTACGAATTTGTTACAAATGATCAAAAAACCAAAATCCTTTCCTTTCAATATAGCTTCACAGATGTGCTTATTTAATCTCAACACTAAGTTACACCTAATCTGTCTATCATTTTAATACATACTAAGAATGAATAATAACCAAGGATATGTTAAAAACCTACCTGAGGAATCTTTCAATATTTACACGTGAAATACACATAAAATGTAAAGGAAAACTTTCAACAAATTTATTTTTACTTTTTAAAATCTATACTATCCACATAGTGTTGCATTCCAGACTGTTTTATGAATATATTTTTTATAAGAAGTATTTCCCATTTCTCTTGGAAAACTTTGCATGACATAATGTATTTTAGGCCCAAGAAGTAAAAGGAGAAAGTTACAAGTGAAGGGGCAGGTTGGTCCTGCAAAATATAAGAGTGTCATGCCATCCATGCATATGTGTTCAGTTTTTAATCCCAATGAGAAGTTTTCAAAACTAAAATTAAGACATAGAGAGAGATAAGGACAAAAACTCAAATGGTTATGAAAACAATTTTCAAAAATTGGTTCATCAGATCAAAGTTTGTATCTTAGTTGTCAACAAAAAACTACAATCTTTAACTACATCTTTTTAACAAATAAGCACTTCTTGTGTTATTTATCTTTGTAGATTACACTTGATTTAAGCTTTGAAACTTTTAAGGAGTGTGTATTCAGTTTATACTACTATTACAATTAGTCAAAATGAGTGACTAAAAAACTAGTGAACAAACAGTTAAGCATGTTTGACTTGCATGTAGGAAAAAAACCTGATAACTTGCAATTTTGAAATGAAACAGATTAGAGTTTTAATGAAACCAATATTTCATAAATAGATGTTAATAGCTTCATATACACATTAATGAAGAAAAATTTAAAAAAGTATAACTAAAACTATCATATGGAAATCTATAAGAAATTATTAGTTTTTCTTTATTTTTCATATCACTACATGCATGACAAAAAATAAGGATTTTTGCTCAATGGTAGATAAGTCACTCAAGCCATTGAAGCAGTGCTCTGTTGCTAATAGTAAAGTTAATAAAACCTTGGGGGGTGTATTTATAGATATATAAATTACAAGTCAAAAAGGTATCTCTATATACAAATCATTAGTCAATGCTTCATTTGAAATACTCTGTATATTTTTTATCTCCTTACCTAAAAAGAATACTGATTTACTAGAAAGTGTTCAAAGAAGGGTTACTAAGATGTTTTACAAAGAGAAGAGTTTATGATACAGTCTTGGTTTAGTTAAGATATTTTTTCTTGTGAAGAGAAAGGTAAGAGGTAATCTTAAAGAAGTTTACATTATTATCAAGGGAATCAATAAGTTAAAGGTCCCAAATTTCTTTGTGCTGTATTCTGAAGATAATAGGGTGACATGACTAGAGCTTAGTAATTAACTTGATCAAGTAATTACCTACGAGCATCATGTAAAAATAAGTGATTAATCAAAATTCTTATTGAATTAATATCATGAAAATAATCAACTAATCAAAATTGATGTTTCTAATTATTACAGTTTTCAATTAAATTAAAATCACCAGATGTAGTCATAATAAACACAAATAATGATGTTACAACTTTATATTTTATTTTTAATTGGATTGATGCATCAATATTGCCACTATAATTTCTCATTATTATTAAGTTGTGCAACTTAATCAATTAAGATTACAATTCACAAAAATAGTTAATCAAAATTAGTGCTTCAAAATTTTTCTAATTTTGATTATTCCAATTATCCAAGTTTCATATGAGGATAACTGATTTGTCAGCTTGATGATTAATTATCAAATTTTATTAACCACCCAGCTTCATGGAGAACATAAGTCTCAAGAGTGGGTATGCAAGAACAGTCTTACAAGGCCAAACAGTCCTTGGGTGTCCATATGTTTACTCATCCATATAAATTAAACCTGGATGATAGTGATACAAACTCATATGTATTGTTACGACATAATGTCTGTTAGAATGGCAAACTTTAAATTCTCAAACTTTTGGTGAATAACAAGAAAATAACAGTCTAAACAATATATTATAAACTTTTTTATTCTTATGAAATGCCTAAAATCATGTTTTGACATTCTTCACATTAATTTTACATGCACTTTTTTATATTTAAAATC